GTTTGTACCACAGAGGCTGAAGAGTCCATGTACAAACCTGAACCCCATGGAACTGCATCCTGGATGGGGAGGGAAAGGGGTTTTTTCTTCGTCTGATCTCCAAAGAAATGAGTCTCCTGTGCTCAGAGTTGGGGTTCAGAGGTGTGTCCCTAAGTCCTTTGAAACTTTTACACACATTTGCAAACTTCATCTATGTTTGATGGGACAGGACATGGGGATTTATAGGACAAGAGGGAATGGCTTTAAACTGACAACTGACAAAAAATAGGTTTAGATTACTCATTAGGAAAAAATTCTTTACTGTGAGGGTGGTGAGGCTCTGGCACATGTTGCCCAGAGAAGTTGTGGATGCCCCATCCCTAGAAATGTTGAAGGCCAGGCTGAATGGAGCTTTGGCAACCTGGTCTAGTGAGAGGTGTCTCTGCCCATGGAAGGGGGATTGGAAGAAAACCCTTAAGGTTAAGATCTTCCAACCCAGATCATTCTGTGGTTCTGATTTATCTCATCTGAATGCAGTGGCCCTGTAAGTGGAGGTCTCCATGTCAACTCATCATCCCGGCCTGTCTTTACAGCCACTGCCAAACACCAGGCATTTCAGGTTGGAAACTTTTCTGATGCAGGGTGGGTATTTCCTTACAGAGCCCCCTTGCCCTGTGGATTTTTTGGGAAGCACAGATTGTGTGGCTCCTGTTCATAACCAGTGTTCTTTAATAAAGAGATTTGTATTAACAACATCACTGATCCCTCCTGTTGTTTCTCTCAACAGAGCTTGTGTGACCCCGAGCCCCCAGCATGGACAAGCTTTAGAGGATGTAATTTTATATTGGAACCAACAGCAGCAACATTTGGAGAGCTACACAATAGGGAAAATCTGGTAGATTTGTCCAATACTTGTGTTGAAAATAACATTCCAAAGCATTTGCACCTATTTTGTCTTATTTTTGTGTGACACTTAAATGCACATTGTCCATGGGCTTTGCTCTGACACCAGATGCAAGTGGCTAATACTGATATACAATTCAAATACTACAGACCTGGGCCAGGTCCCTGCAGTGCCCTCCTCAAGAGACTTGTAAAGACACGAAAGACAGGAGCATCTTCTTTCTCTTCCACTTGGGAAAAGTCTTGTGAGACTCAGCTCTGCACAGGAATGAGGGGAGGGATGGCATGGGATGGGATGGGATGGGATGGGATGGGATGGGATGGGATGGGATGGGCAGGCTTTACACGTTCCTCCAGGATTATGGAGGATGCCATGCTAGGGAAGGACAATTCTTACCTGGTCTGCCTTGTGCTGAGGGTCTCTGGTGACATCTTCCATGTAAGCAAATGGCCAGAGCTGGATGTAGGGTTGATTTTAATAAATTAAATTATTGTGTTCGAGTCTTATTTCACAGCCCTTCTCTTTACTTAATTTACATTCGCATTACTTTTCCACTTGTGCTTTCTCCAGGGATCTGCAGACACCCTGGCTGTCAAGGTGACAGACTGCTGGGGTGACATCCTTCTGCATCCCTGGAGTCCATACCCCCAAAACACACTAAACACATTTGCAGCAGAGGGGAGCACATCCAAATACTGTATGTGTTCCACAAAGCCTTTTAATTCTCAGGAGTCTGTGGTTTTTCTCAAGCCAGAGGTGAGGAAAAACACAATCATTATTAAACTGGTGAATTGAGAGTTTGGGGGGGTGAGACAGGTGTAGGTGTTTTGTTGGTTCAGTTTGGGCTTTTTTTAGGAACAAAAATAAAGGATGAAAGGGGCAAAAGTTCCCTGTTTCACAGTTCCTAAGGTCACACTTCATATTAAGGTTCCATTTAGAAAGAGCACATAATTCCTTGATACATGTTGAGGTGATTGATGAATCATTTATTGTGTATTGCTATTGAACTGCTGGTCTCCAGAGCTGTGATTTAACCATCTATAATACCTGCAGCTTCCCTGGACATGGCCATCGATAATGCTGGAACACAAAGTATTTGTGTGCATAACGTGCTTACCACATCTAACATTTATGAATGCTTTATAAACAATTTATAAATGAAATCTTAATATACAGCATAACCTATTTTTAATGTTGTGGCAGTTACATAACCCGTTTCACCTTGATTCATCTCAGTTAACTTCGGGCACCTTGTGGAGGTGTCTCTGTAGCCCTGTACCATTTCCCTCTGCATTTTTTTTCCTTCCCTTCTTCCCACTGCTCATTTATCCCAGTTCTGCCCCAAAAGTTCTGGTCTGGGATATTGCAGCCTCACAGGCTTCTGTGTGATGATGCAGCTTCACATTAGCAACTCACTCACATATGCACATACTAAAGGAAAACACTCCCCTGCCTTTTCTTTCCTCTTTTCAAGCCAAATCCATTGCATGGGTTCAGCCTTGTGTGGCCACACAAAGAGGTGAATCGGGCAAAGGAATGGGGAGGAAATGGCATTTCTACTCTGCATATGAGCTGTTGGGAAAGGAGGTGGAAGGCAGATGCCTGAATCAGACCATGGCATCACTTCAGCCACCAGCCTGGACCAGTTTGTAAGAACATGGGTAGACTTTGAAGAGCAGAAGGGCCCCGTTTCTGACACAGATTATTGATGACATCCTCACAGTCATTAACAAGATGCTCATTGTTAAACTGTTTCAAAAGCTGGCCTGATTTCTCTCTGGCAGTGTCTACATTGTTTTGTTCAAGCTGAAGAGGGGTTGAAATTGCCCTTTCCAGCCACGGCATCAGAGAACGCTGGACCATAAAAAATCCTCTGCAGAAGCTCCATCACAGAAATGGTGCTGTGCTGCCTCAATGCTAACATATGTTTCCCCTATTCCAAGTGATTTCTGATCACTCCTGAGGAGTTTTCCTACGGCTGTGAAGATGGGGAGGCTGGGAGGATGAGCAGGCACCAGCCCTTGGGAGAGAAACACTTGGAAGAGCACCTGCAAGCAGGAGGTGGCTGAGCACTGCTCTGCCTGGTGCACAGTGCTGGGGACAACGTGGCTTCCCAGGCAAGCCTGTGCATGTGATTTACACCTCCAGGGTGCATTTCTGTGCTTGGCATAGCCACACACTGAGCACATCTTGGCCTGGAAGGATCTTCTGCACTCCCAGACTTGCATAGATGCAGTGCCAGATTTTGGTGAGATGCCTTCTCCCTGTGCCAGGGCTCCAGGGAGTCAGAGGTGATGGCCATGCAGCACAATGGGCCTCCATGACAAATTTGCAGGTTCAGATGAAGATTGCACATCTGGGCATGGGGTTAGCAAATCTCCCAGGGAGATGTGTGGCTGAATTAGCTGTCAAAAGAGGGCCTATCAATGTGCTTCTATTGATGTGTTTAACATTAGGCACATGCTTGGATATCTTGCTGAATCAGAACACAGGGACAGCAAGTGAGCAGTGACACATCACCTACACACAGAGTCCCACTGGTGTTATGGAATTGATGCATGGTGAATGCAGTTGAATTAAGTATCCTTTCAACAAGAAACATCAGACTGTAATGAAATAGGCAAGATCCTGTTCAACTGAAATAGCTCAAGATGCTTTAAGAAGAGGATATATGAGAGTCAAACTCCAGTTTAGCAGCTGACACTGGGTTTGAGGCAAATTTTTCCCTAACGTGAACAAAGTGTTAGGAGGGCTCTAACAGATATGCAGAGGAAGGAAAAAAAGGGGCAAGTTGATCATTTCTGTTGGGACCAAAGAAAAGCAGAAAAGTGGAGTGAGTGGAAGAGTCAGTGGGAAGGATGAAGCGAGAAAGAGTAAGATGAGAAGCTAAAACCTAAAAAGATGCTGAACAATTCAAGAACCCTGACCTAACCCCGGAAGGAAACAGCTATCATGGAACTCTTGACAAAAAATTTTGTCCAGATCTTTTGTGTCTTCTATATTAAGAGCACAAATGTTTGCAAAGCTCTGTACAGCAGCAGGAAGGCTCCAATTCCCCTGTGCCCACACACCCAGAGCTGCAGAGGGCTTGGCTCCAGCCCAGGGAGCTGGCACTGCTCTGCAGGATGGATGCACAGCCCCATTCCAGGGACAAACAAAGTGCCCACACCCAGGAAGGGAGCCAGAGGACTCAAGGAAGGGAGCGTGCAACTGGCTCTCACTAAGGAAACCTTAATAACTTCTAGGTTGGGAATCCAAACACAGGAACCCCAGGAGTGACAGAAGGAGCTCAGTCAAGGCTGGGCATCAAGTGGTTTTTAAGTGCTTGCAGTCAGTCTTCCAAGATGGTCCTTCCAGCCTTTGAGCTGTTTCTTAAAGGATGGGAAATGTGACAGAATCATGGAATGCTTTGGGTTGCAAGGAACATTTACAGGTATAGTCCCATTCTTCCAGCAATGAGCAGGGACACCCTCAGCTGGATCAGGTTGCTCAGAGCCCTGTCCAAGCCAACCTTGAATGTTCCCAGGGATGGGGCAGCCATCACTTCTCTGGGAAATCTGTGCCAGGGCCTCACCATCCTCAGCATCAGTATTGGGACACTGAGGCATTTCACAGATTAAGCCAAGTTGGAAGGGATCCACAAGAATCAGCAAATCTGACACCCACCCCTTCACAGGACCATCCCCAAGACTTCCACCATGTGTCTGAGAGTGTTTTCCAAACACTTCTTGAGCTCTGTCAGGCTCTGGGCTGTGACCCCTGCCCTGGGGAACCTGTTCGAGCACCCAGCCACCCTCTGGGTGAAGAACCTTTTCCTAATATCCGGCCCAAGCGTCCCTGGACACAACTTCTGGCCTTTTGTTGCCTTTCCTGTGAGTGCCTCTCTCTCCTCAGCTGACAGTGAATAGGCACTGACACAGGAGCCACACTACAGAGCAGACAGGGTTCACCACCTCTGAGCTCATCTAGGAAGAGAAAGTTTGAGTGAAGCTGAAATTTCACTTCCTGGGTCCAACACATTCTTTCAGAGACACAATACAGAATCAAGAGATATGCATTATTATCAGCAAAAACACACAGTAACACAACCAAAAACTACAGACTAAAGAGACTGGCAGAGGTGTAAATAACAAGACACAAGTATTTATTCAGGTAAAGTTACATAACTTATGCTTCTCCAGTGCATTCATATATGGGATCAACATCTGCTCTCAGCAATGGCCATTTAAATTAGGAATAATTTATTGCAACCACTGGTTTGTATAAGATTTACAATGAACAGTTCAGCTCATCATGTTCAAATAATTGCTGGGTGTTTCAGTGAAAGAAAAATAAGTTTCCAGTACCAAGAAAGGAACGTAGATAAGACAAGTATCATCCTTCTTTCAAGCAGTACAAGGACCAATCCTGACAGCAACCCCAGTGATATTAAGCACCTTGCCCTCAACCCTTCTCCAAATTACACTAACACTTAAAATCTTCCTTCTGGACAAGTTAAAAATGATCCCCAGAAGGAAAAAAACCTTGTGTTTCATCTCTCTCACTAAGACAAGTAGAAGTGTGAGAAAATTGGGGAAGATATCATAAATGCCAAAAGCAACTAAGCGTCCAAGTTGACAAGGGATAGAGTAGTCTACTGTATAACAGACAGACCTTTAAGGGTCAGCTCACACATAAGAACTTATATTTATGTGCACATATGGCAGATTTATAATGGCATATTGGATACCTAGAAAAGATGCAGCCTCCTTTTGTTGTAATAAAACCTGTTCCCATTCCAACAGCTACAGTGGGCTGTACATCAGGATCCTGGATAAGTAAAAGGCACAGGAATGTTGCCTCCCAGGACAGGCTCCACAGAACAAGACCCTCTCTTCTCGGAGCATGCTGTCAATAATTAATTAGAGAATAGTCCCTTAGCTGGGCAAATTGAAGGATCCTGACTGCAACAGCATCTACTTTACAATAATTTTATTTCAAATGCAGTGTGGTCCTTACAAAGCCTTAGCTGTATTCCTAGAATCTGCAGATTTTCTTCTGGGAACACTGAATAAAAACTCAATTTGGATTTTGCTGCAACAGTGTTGTGCAACATAGTACAGACATTCATGTCAAAACCAAGCTTTTACAGGGAAGATGTACTGGTTTAGTTCCTGCTCTCCTTGGATCTTATTTTTCTGTGTATTGCCTATGCAGGGACAGAGAATTCAGCCTCATCTGGCACAATCTGGTTAGCCAAGCTCCACCAACACAGAAAACCAGGCCCAGTTCAGCTGTTGGACCCTCTTTCCAGGGGTGTCTCAAGCCCAGAGCCACTGTGCCAGTCTAAGGAACAGTTTTATTACTGGACCTCACTGGCACCTGACAGAGCAATGAATCATTGCAAATAAATCTTCAGCAGGGCTCAGATTTTCATCAGGTCTAGACTGAAAGCTTCCACTTTCAAGGCTGAGTACAGAGCCACAGCTCAAGCACAAATACTGATAACATTGCCACAACACAGGTTTTTACAGCTAATACCCTGCATACACTGCAAAGACAGCTACCATGCTACAGCCACAGTTCCCTCAGGTTAGGAATATATTTAGGATGAACAATCATATGCAAGCATGCAATGAATAGAGTTTTGAGCACTGTCTTTCCTATGGAAAACACCAGTCACATCTAAAATACCCCTGGGCATGATGCAGAGAGTCAGAACTGAGCAGGAAGGGTCAGGCCAGGCATTCAGTGGGGGCCCATGTTTGCATGAATTCTAAAGAAACAAAGAATCTGCAGAGAGGTTGTGCATGTAGATTTAAATCATGTACAGCTAACTGGAGTGTCCCTGCCACATCTTGGTATATCCACCCCCAAAGCATACTACCACCGAATTTAACTATGTATTTAAGAAAAGACTGAGATAGGTTTTAAACATATGCTCCATGAAATAATGTATTAATCATACAGCTAAGACATCTCCCTGCTTTACATGGGGTAAAAACATGTCTCACTATACAAAAACATTATCCTGAAAAATAGGCTAAATTATCAGTACATTCAACAACTACTTTCACACTCAAGAATTCCATGGCCTTAATTGCCTAATAATTAAACGTAAAAAAACCCTCTAAAGAAAACTAAAAAAAGAGGAAAAAATCCAGACACATTTTAAAAAACAGTGTATTAGTATGAAAAATCTGATGAGAAGAAGAGTTTGCAAAAACTCACGAAAAGTTACATTAACGATCATCTGATTAATTCTGGTGGATCTTTAAGAGTCTGCAAATATTTCAAGTGACTGTGTAAAACAGAACTGTGAAAGCCTAAATTCACAGGCAAGCCTTAGGCAGCCCAAAAGTTGGCTTATTTTTTCTCTCAAGGACAAAACTCTTTTGCTCTTCCTCACCCTCTCTCCTTTCTAGTTCATAGATCTGCCAAACTAAAGGCAGTGACTTTACCAGGAGCAAGTGGCACTGGGCTCAGGGGAGGGAGAGAATAACTGGAGGCTATTCTTACTTTGAGCAGCACACTAAAAAGCACCACTACTGCCATTTCCTACCAAAGACACCAAATTCTCAGCAAACAAATGAACAAGAGCAAGCCAAACAAATCTAACAAATCTAACAGAGATCTATACCCCAAGGGAACATGCCATGGGTCCAGCATAAACCAGGAGGAATTTCATACACAAATCTTACTGAAAAATGATCAAACAGGATTATTTAAATAGGATTTAAGACCTTCAAACACATGGCAAAATTCAGCCCTCAAGACTCTTTCAAACTACTGATATCAATGGAGTGTATTGAAGTATAATGTACATAGTTTCAAAGGCTTTCTGGAAACAGAGGAAAACTTCAGCACAGTTATAATCTCTCTCTCTCCCTCCCTCTGAAATTAGCTAAAGCAGCTGTCTAAATGACTATCAGCCAATTCAGAAAGTGTTCAGCTGTTCCTCCAAAGTAGAGACTGTGTCCTGGGGTTGGACAGAAACAAGGGGTGAAGCAGAGGATGTGCCAAGCATTGCTGTGTGCTGTGGTTAATCAAGCAGCACACAGGGCATTCACAGCTTAGCTGGGGCCATCTGTAGCACGGATGTGGACACTGGGAAGGCAGAGCCAGGACAGAGGCAGCTCCCTGCTGCAGTTGTCTTCATGGAATTTGATATTCAGGTAGAAATCGCCCGTGTAGAGGAAGAGAAGAGATCCAAAGTACACAGAGTCTTTGGTTGGCTTTACCTGGCAAAGAGAATGCAAAAATTAGTACAAATAAAACATCAACTAGCAAATTAATTGCAGTTTGCAATTCACTAGCTAATTCAAAGGGTCTCAGAGTACTCCAGATTCACATCTTAATAACGCTTTCATACAAAAAGGAGTAAACATCCCGTCCCCATTCTAGTAAAACTGTTACATTAAAAAATTAATCCTGTTATTCACTCATGCAGTAAATCTGTGCCACAGCTCAAAACAGAGTATGAACCTTTAGGAGTCACTGATTCCAAAACAGAATTTGTTTAAGGTAGAGATCACCCTAAATCTCTCCTTAGACTGCATTTACCAACCTCTCTATTAAAGTTCTAAATCATGTCTCTGCATTAATGTTAAATACATGGTTAAACATCATTTAACAGCTTAGCAATAACTCAGTTCATTCTCACTTATTACTGAGACACAATTTGACTGCTAATTCTAATCAGGAACTCAAGTATTTATCATTGAAATAACAAAGTTAGCAAAAACTTCCCAGAAACACTAGCCATCCTGATTTTCCTTGTCCAAATTAAATATACAGAGTTCACACTGTTTCTACATTTATGTATCTTCCTTCATCACAAATCCATCTACAGTCCATATCTTCACAACAAATAATATATCTCAGTCCATCATTTCAGCAAGACACTTCAGTAATTTCTAACTTTAACACTCCCACCACTGTTCAGCATGTGATAATGTTTGAATTAGTATCTGCTTTCCACAAGATGTTAAATCCAGTTTCAGGATGCCTAGAACTGAGTTAAAGTTATAGCAAATGCAAAACACCAAATCAACACAAAGCCACTCCATTAGATGAAATTTTTCCAGAAATTTTGAAAGGGCAACTTCATCCCAGCACAAAAGTCCCAATAAAGGCTGAGGGTCTGAGACAGGTGATCAGGGCTGTTCCCCACTACAAAAATTTTCATCATATGATAAACTGAGACATGAACAACAAAGTGTGAACTGGGGAAGTTCTCATGGACACCCTTTGCTGAAGGACAAACTGCCCCTGCTTGGGAAGACCAGAACAGGGATGATGGGAAGGCCATGGAGGGGAAGAGGAGGAAGGAAAATGATCAGCAGAAGATTTCAGGGGTGCAGGAAACTCAAGAATATTCCAGAGAGCTGAAAACTTCCAGCCACCACCTTCCATGAGGCAGATTTTCTGTTGCTTTCAGAAGTGAAGGGAATGAGCTATTTCCATTTTCTCCTGTTCAAGGTTTGTTTTTTTTTTTTTACTTTCACTGCTGGTGTCTTTAGCCAGGAGATGCATATAGCTATGCATCCTGTATAGTAGTCCTCAGGGCTACTAGTCTGCTTTGTTGGACCTCCTTAAATGGGAAGAAGCCCCGAGAGGGGCCATGAAGCTGCTAAAGGTACTGGAGCATCTTTTCTATGAAGACAGGCTGAGAAAGTTGGGATTATTCAGCCTGGAGAATAGAAGGCTGAGTGGAGACCTCACAGCACATTCCAGTATTTGAATGAGCTACAGAGAAGCTAGAAAAGACTCTCCATCAGGATCTGTAATGATAGAACAAAGAGTATGGGGATCAAATTGAAAGAGGGGAAATTTAGGATACTTATATGGAAAAAATTCTTTACTGTGAGGGTGGTGAGGCCCTGGCACAGGTTGAATGCCCCATCCCTGGAAGTGTTCAAGGCCAGGCTGGGTGGGGTTTGGAGCAACCTGGGATAAGGAAAGGTGTCCATGCCCATGGCAGAGGGGCTGGAATAAGATGAACTTTAAGTTCCCTTGCAACCTAAACCATCCTGTGCTTCTATGACTCCAAACAGCAGCTCCTGCACAGGGGCCTGTCTGTTCACAAGCAGCCACATCCTCAGAGCTGGAGAGCCCTTTGGTTTTGGTGCTGAGCTCTTCTGCTGACCCACACAAACTTGTGTGAGCATCTTGTCATCCAGGTCAGTGATCAGAGCAGCCACAGCTGCTGCCCTGAGCCCATCCTTGGCATCTCCCCTGTGGCTGGGTGCAGCTTCTTGCCCTCTGGCACTGCGTCTGGACACACAGAACAACATCAAGCCATGTCCCCTCTTGCTTCCTTCCCCTTCTCCCAGGGCTGCCTGCCTGATTTCTGCCTCACTGGGACTGATGTGGGCTTTCATCCAGAGGAGGGCAGAGGCAGGCACTAATGCCAGCAGTGGGTGCAGGCAAAGAGCAAACGAAGCCTCCTCAGGACCCTCAGCTTTTTCAGGCTCCTGGTTCATTCTTCCCCATCTTCACAAAGGAACATCTGTAAGAGCACAGCTCAGAGCCCTTGGCAAGCAGGAAGGTGGCTTCAGGCTCCTCAGCATCAACACCACACATCACATTCATGGTTTGGGCTCTGCCCACATCTGTTGTACCACCACCACTGTAACAACATTTGTGCTTTGGAAAAGAAACAGGGAAGCAAAATGAGCTTGAAACCTTTGCCTTGCTTAAGTGCAGGTGGCTCTGCAGAAGTTACAAGATGTTTCCTTCAAAACAGGAACCAACTTAGGAAAGTAAAGCTGCATCTCCAGTGAGGCTGCCTACAAACCCTCCCAAAAGATCAGCTGCAGCAGCCAGGTCAGTAAAGGGTCACATCAGCCCAGCTGCTACCCCAGGCACAGGACTGATTTTGAGGTTAAACCTACATTTAGGAGTCCAAGGTACCCAAGCTCCTACTACAAAAGGAGGATACTTAGTCAATGCAGACAGTGGAGCAAACACAGCATGGTCTCACTAGGCAGCCTGCAGAGCCAGAACAGAGTTGCCTAAACACAGGTAATGGCACTGAGACACCTGCACAGGACTGGGAAGATGCCCAGGATGTCTTAAAGGATTTCTAGCAGCAATGGGGGCTGGTAGGATACCCACAGCCCCTGTGTGATGGCAAACATGTATTTTTAGGCAACTAAATCTCAGCCCTGTGTCTATAAGCCAGGTTCTACCAGACCACACCTCCACTGACTCAGGGGAGCTTAGTGGGCCAGCACCCCTGGTAGCATCTCTTCATCTCAGGCTGGAACTGAATCCACCCAAATGCCTGTAAAGTGGATGTCCACATCTAAGCCAGCTGCAAACAGAAGGATTCACCTGACCAAATGCAGAATGAGGCAAAATGTTCCCTAAACTGCATAAGCTTTGATGACTGAATCATTCTTCAGGATGCTGACATTCCTGAGTCAGGGCAGAGTTAAAACAGGCTTTGTTAAAATTCCACCATTCATGGAAACAAAGATGAGCAACTTGTACCTCAGAAAATAATGATCAAAAACCAAGGAAAAAATTCCACATTACTCCTTTGTTCCACCGAGATAGAAGAAAAATTAAGTTTCTAGCTCCATCCTAATTCTTCCCTGATTTAGGCTACCATGTGGGACTGTGATTGCTTAGAACTAATTACTACTTATTTATACTGCTGTAGTACTTAGGGAGCTCAGTTGGAGATTAGAGCTGGTGCCAGCTACTGCCTGCTGCCCCAAAGATTTTACAGTGTGAATAAAACAGTGCCAAGAAAAATAATTTGTTCCAGATGGGCCACAGAGGACCTGCCAGAAGTGAGCAAATGTTCACCATGGCTTCTGAGCTGATTCAAAATGACCATCTACTAATGAATTTCTCCTCATCTCCCACTACCAATCACTCGAGCCTGTGTCTGATAACACACATAGGAAAAAAATCCTGCTTGAGAATAAGCAATGGCACAACCAGGGACAACTAGAGAGGATGAATTGCTAGGAGTTACAGGATTCGCCACAGAAGACAATATTTTTGGTTTTAATTGGGCAAAAAACAACTCTATGTGATCAACTAATTGTTCAACATAAAACATTGGTAAGAACAAAAAAAAAATTAACATTGGGGCAAGAGATAAACTTTATGTTGTGAAGCAAGATAAAAAAGTAAATCAATCCACTGTATTTTAATGGGTAGGTTCCACCATGTTAATTCGTGTTTCAAAATCACCCACTGAACAAAAAATGTAAAATATTTAAATCATAATGGAGAAAATCACTTTTTCTGTCAAATACAGAGAAAAGTAAGGCTAGCCAAATTAGAAGTTGTGCTTAAAAATACAGATTTTGCTTAATTCAAAATGCATGGAAATAACTCAGTATTTTTAAAAATGTTCCAGAAAAGACTTTGCTTTTTGAAGTAGCACATCCCAGCAGAGACTTTGTGACACAAACCCAGGCTGCTGCATCAAATTGAGGTAAAAGCACAAAGAGGTGAATAAGCATCATTACATTACTTCAAGATAAATCTTCTAACTAGGACTTCAAGCCACAAGAAAGGGAAATACAAAACTGTGTGACTTTACCCTTTCAACAATTTATATTCACACTGCAAAGCAGCATGTGCATCCTGAAAATTCCTGTATAAATCCCCTGTCATCGATGCAGCAGCAGAAACTGCTTTGAGACCTTTTAGTCTGGAATCAAAAATAATGGCGAATTTTTGAGCATGAGACTTAATATGAAACTATCATTTAGGAAGGCAGAGAGATCTGTTGGGGTTTTTTGTACCAATAATGAAGTTTCTGCATGACAACAGAGTGAATTTTCAGGGTGTGAGGAGTGTCTGCCCTTGCTGTAATACCTGATGCTCCCACTCGTTCTTGACCATGCTCCAGTGGTACACCAAGCCAGACTTGATTCTCCATCCTTCCTCCCACCCAGCTCAGCCCTGCAATAAATCATGTCAGCATCCCTGTGCCAGTGTCAGTGTGAAGTCAGCCCAATTAACTTCAACTGCTGACTAATGTAGTTTTTGCTAAACTGGACAACTTTTCACAAAACAGTGTCTGTCCTGGTGGGCCTGCTGGGGGAGAGGGGAGCATCTTTCACAAGCAGCTGGGAAAGGGCAGCACCTCAAGCCACCTCCACTAAACAAGAAAAATAGTCAAGTGCCCATGACCTCAGGTTAAAAAAAATGATGGGGACATTATTAACAGCTTCCACACAGCAGTGCTGAGTTGAAAATCAGCAGGGAATCTAGTCCAGTATCTCAAGTTTTGTTTATAAAAAAGAGAAACTCTGGTTGTCTTTCATCTCACCCAGCCATGAGCTTCTTTGTTTTGTAACCAGGATCTGTCTGACTTTTGGCCAAACTCAGGGCATAAACACAATTCTGGGCATGGTGGTTCTTCCCTGAAGCATCAAATGCACAAACCAGGGATTTCCCCTCGCCCCCCCCAAACAGGTAAAACTTTCTGAAATCTACTTTCTATTTCTAAATTAGTTATGATGAGGAAAGACAGGGCCTCTGGAAGACATAAGGATTTTCTTCCACAATCAGGGCTCTATGCCCCAAAGAAACATGACCAAGCACTTTCCCTAGGAGCCTGTGCAGTGTCACCTCTACACTCTGTGAAATGTAACACTTGTCGTCTGAGAGTCGACATTTTGTTCATTTCACCTTTTTGTATGGAGAGGAGGACAAGCAGCAGAAAACAATTCTATTTTTAACTTCTTGGGGATTGTGTTTACAGGAGAAATGTCAAAATACTGAGCAATGGGGCAAAAGCAGGGACCGTAACATATGAGAAGGCTGCCTGGGCAGGCACCAGAGATGTGACCTCCTGACTTTTTGCCCCGTAGGAGACTCAATCAGAAGCTAAGAATACATCACACTGACATCTCCCTTTTCCCTCATTAGCCTGCAGGGTCGGGCCCTTTGGCAGCTGGGCATCCAAACACCACCACTCTGATTAAAAACTCCACATTGTCAGAAACAAAGTCAAAGAGAGCCATCCCTGGATGATTTCTGTTGACATATTTAAATTATTCAGCTATAAGAATGCAGTTAGCCCCCATTAAAATTCAAGTTGATGGTATATTTCATGCTCATTAGCTTTTAGAAATATTGTCTTCTGCAATATGTAATTGAAAAATACGCATGGTGACTATCTCCACGGTTAACCTTTAATTTCCTTCTAACTAAGGTTCACTTATATATTTAATTTTGACAGGTACATTTTATTACCGATCTGGAGAGCTGACCCAAACAAAGGGTCCTAAGCACTATCCCAAACACTCACCCCCTTCTTCATGTTTATTTCATAAGTAACCAGAAATGCTGCTCATTCCACTCTGCAGCACTGCCTGCAAATTTTCATTCCAGGTATCTTGTTGTATTTTTGGAAGGGAAGGATGTGGGAGAGAGTAGTGTTATCTGTATTTGCAGTGTCTTGCCTTAGAAGCAAAAAGCTCTTAGACTTGAATTTTCTAGAGAAATTGAGAGAAAAATCATAATCTCAATTGTTTTAAAAAGGGGCGTTTTTTTGCCTCATTTTAAGCATTTCTTTATGGTTTTATATCAGTATGCTAAGCATCCAGGAAATGAACTAGCTCATCAGATTGGCCATTAATGCTTAGCATTTTCTTTTTGCAGTCTGTTGTGTTTCCTCAGGACCTGACTAAAACTGATTTGCTGAATTCCTCAGCTCAGCCTGGGGAATGTTTCTTATGGACTAAAGAAAAAAAGAAAAGTTATTTAAAATCTATTACTGCAGGCTGCGCTGGGTGACTCAAGGGACTGACAATCTGGTATTGAACATTCAAACTAGGGTTACCCATTCAGAGTCAGCCAGATCTGGAAGATCTGACCAGAAGTTGCTGCCTCTGATAATTTACTACTGGTTTACATGGTAGGAAATTGCAGTCTTAAACCATTGCAGAGAGACCACTGCAGATGAACACAGCAGCACTGTTAGCAGAAGCTGCCATAATCATGGGGCTTTCCAAAAGCTGACCTGCTTTAAAATGCACAATAGAACAGTGGAGCCCCTTTCAAATGCACATCACTCAAAATCCTGATACTTGTGATAAAACAACTCACGGTGTCGATGTAGAAGGTGTTGGATCCCACAAAGGTGATGGCATCCTGCAGGTCATAGTTGTGCACCCCATTCTGGTAGTCCTGGTAGGGCATCATGGTCAGAGCAAAGGGTCCCACGCTGTGCTTGCTCCAGTTGGTCAGCTTCACCTGCAAGGGGACAGGGTCCCCCACTTGGCACGTCACCACGACGTCACAGTCACACACCTTGCCATTAACCAGGATGTCTGTAAAGCAAGGAAATGAGTCCTCATTAGGCTGGACACCTGCTCCAGAAGCTGCATTAATCTTGACAGGAGACTCAACAAGGAAAAAGTAATCTCCATGAAACCAGGAGTGTGAGACAGTTAATTTTGGGAAAGAATGCTGTGCTGTTGTGCAGGGCACCTACTTGAGAAAAACCATCTCACGTGGGTCTGATATCTATCCACAGCTGTTGAAAGAACTATGAAAAAAACTCAATTATGATCTATACACAGAAGATATTTTTTAACCTCCTCCTTTGAAGGCCAAAGCCACAGACAATTTCTCATGGTTCTGCAAATCAGCTGCATAAGGTGAAGGGAAATACAAACAGGAACAGGAACCATTAATACAAACAGCAGCTAGAGAGATCCAGGGCTGGAGGCCCATGTTCATATGTTACAACCAGAATAAATCTTTCTCTATGGAGGTGAGATTTTGGAGCAGGACAGACACTGGCAGAATTTGCAACGTAATACATATATTAAAATCCAGATTATAAGGAAAAGAGGGATTTTAAAATTATACTGGAGTACAATAAGCTTGTCCACTCTTTGCACTTTAAATCACTCTGGGATTTCTATTTTTAATTTTCTACTTTTCTTTCCCTTACTGGGACAGCAGAAAATATAAAGCCTCTAAATTGGTTACTGCTGGGACAATGACAGCTGGAGTAATGTGTCCATTAACCTTGCCCATTTGCTTATACAGAACCAAAATGTTTCATTACCAACACACTATGAAATTGCCAGTCCAATTCCCTGCTCTGAAAGGGTTCCCAGTTGTGCAGTATTACTGTATTTTTCAGATGCGGGTTATCTCCAATGCACTATTAACACAGGAACATTTCTATTTCACTATGGGTTCATGTCCAGAGATAAGAGAAAGCCCTGGGCACATGTAAGAAAGCTTCCTTTGTGTGAACACCTATCCCCACAATCTCATAGGCCCAGGAGGCATTTCCATCACTCCAACTCCTCCTCGGTTGCTTGCCTTTTGACATACATCATATTATCCCTCTGCATTGGATTTACATTAGTAATATCTCCTCTTCAAAGAAAGACACTATTTTTATGCTCCAGGAGTTTTCACAGGAAGAAAAAAAAATCACACCAAGTGATTTTTTTAAACTCAGTTTTGTTTTGTTGCCTTAGACAAAAAGTACAAAATGATGCATGTTCTTGTGACGCTCTTTAGCCTGGCAAACTGAACAAGCCTCAACGCAGCCACTGGATAAAAAAATAAACTAAAGCTATTGCCAAAGAAGAAAAAAGTTCAGAAAGGAACATTTATTCCAGAGGTCAGGCCAGCACAGCTGAGGTACCCAGATGAAAACGCCTCCTTGACCAATGCTGCCCAAATGCAGCAGCATCAGATACGAGAGGTTTGGCAAAAAAAAGCACAAGAAAACCCTTCAGCGTTCAAGCTGTAGCAGTCCAAAATCAGTGTTGGTGTTCCAGTTGGAACAGCCAGCCCCTGTTCCAAAATTTCCTTTCTTTTTTTTTTCTTCTTTTTTTTTTTTTTGACAATTAGAACACTGTTGAGGAGTACTGGAGTGCTGTAACCAGTTCTGGCTCCTCATTACAAGAGAGACATGGACACACTGGAGAGACTCCAACACAGGGTCATGAGGAGGATTAAGGGACTGGAGCATCTCTTCCAGGAGGACAGGATGTGAGAACTGGGACAGCTCAGGCTGGGAAAGACTCCAGGGGATCTCAGCAGTGGAGATGAACACCTGGAGGGAGGGTGCAGAGAGGACAGAGCCAGGCTCTTTGATTCAGTGCTGCCCAGTGGCAGGATCAGAATCAGAAGCAATGTGCACACACTGAAACACAGGAGCTTCCCTCTGACCACCAGGAAATAATTTCTTTGCTGTGATGGTAACCCAGCACTGGCACAGGTTGCCCAGGGAGGTTGTGGAGTCTCCATCCCTGGAGACACTCAAAAGCCATGGCATGGTCCATGGCAAGTGACTTTAGGTGGCCCTGCTTGAACAGGGATAGGACCACATGATTTCCAGAGGTCCCTGCCCATCTCTGCGATTCTCTGAAAGGAAGTCATAATCACCACTGCATTTTAGGCAAGGGCTAGAAAACCATTTTGGCATTGGATTTCTTCTGCAACAGCACACTCTAATGCCATGGGCTGCCCTGCCCAACATGATCAATTTGCTTCTTGCAGTATTGCCTCAAGATCATGGAGGTGAAGGAGTGGTTATAATGGTATTCCATTATCAGGGATTAACTGACTTGAGTTTCTCAAAACACAAAGAATGTGTGTCTGTGGATAACCTTTATGCTTCCCAGTCTCCTGGCACAGAGCTGAAGTCCAGTTGCTTCCTTCAAAATCAGTGCATTTATATTGATTCATTACTTTATATCAGTTCATGTTTTCAAGCTTCTCCATGCAAGGTGACTCTTTTCATTAAATATAAAAAAAAATAAAATTAAAAACCCACTTGTTTTCTTCTTCCTCCAGTGGGTTTTACAGCTGCACAAAGGGTTAGATCCCCAGACCAGCACAAAGCTTTGGAAATACTCCCTAAGCTTAGTGGATGAATCTATATTTTCAAGCTGCTCATCAGTTGTCTTTTAGCTTCAATGGTCTGCTATAGGAATTGTAAATGAACCCTTTGCCCTCTATCTCTACCTTTGTATCTAATAATAGTTCAGAGCATTTCTTTCTAATATCTTCATGAGAAAACAGAAAATCCAAGCAAAAGGGAAGCAATTAAGTCTGGCTCAACCAGATTAATTTTTTTCACATTCCTAAAAAAAAAGAAATAAATTCAATTTTAGATTGATTTAAGAGTGTGTGTGTGTGTGCACACGTGTTTGTGTACATATTGAGAGATAATCTCCTTCCTTCCCAGAACACACTTCCCTCCTGCAGTACTGGAGCCAAGGATCTCAATGAGATGTCAGATTAGAAAGCACACATGGCTGGCGTGCAAAATACTATGGAAAGGAGTGTTTAAAAACAGCCCCCTTTCATCAGAGAGAACAGCTTGGCTTGACAGGCAGCTTTACTCCCTTCCTGACACAGAAAACATCTCACGGACCATACGGATTTGCTTTAATATTTTCATCCATGAGCAGAGGAAAAGCCATGTGCACAGGGTCCCGTTTCTGCAGATTCAGCTCACTCACACAGATGGCATATAAAAGCTGAGACTGCTCACACCACTGCTGTGAGAGTGAATCATTATTGGCTTTGGAGTACAGGAGCTCTGAATCAGAAGATGCAGTCACTAGCACAGAAATCAGTCGTGGCTGTATCTCCATCCTGCAAAGATTCAGATACGAGAGAAACAGCACTTCAGAAAATTAGAAGGACCAAGTTTAATTCCAACTGCATATATAAATTGCATTTTAAAAGTGGCAGCAGAAAATCTGGATGACAGAAGGGAATAAATAAAAGCATAAAGACCTAGCAATCTCCCAACCTCCTTCTAATTAAAAGTTAAATCATTTTGTAATAATCGTAATGCAATAAGCCAACAGAATGCTGTCCTCCCCACCCCTTTTCCTGTTCATTTACCTACAATGCCCACTGTGTTGGCATCCTTGGCTGCCAAAATTATCCTGCAATGCCTGAAAGCCATGAAAAAAGGACAGACATTGTCTCTGCCACACATTAATGAACAGGCACGGGGCCATTCTCTTTTCCCTCTAGGACCTTCCCTAAGTGATTATTGTATCAAGGGAGAAAATGTTATCCAACACATTTTGGAAGGCAGAGGATCAGGCTGCTACAACCACTGAGAAGGGTGATTGGAAAGCTTTGCTTTTTCATTGACAGCCTTTGCCAAGCCTTTTAGGATCTCCATGAATAAATCTTTAAGATGGAAAAACTACTTCATGGCCCAGCTGATGGGTGATGCTTATTGACACCACAAGAAGTCTGTGAGAGACCATTATGTGAAAATAATAATCAGCATTCTTATAATGTCTTTCTTTCAGGACCTCAGAACTCTCAAGAAAAGGGAACGAATATTACTAGCAGGAAGACAATGACTACTCCACAAGAAAAACAATTTACCATCACCTGCCAGGTGCACTTCTGGCTACATCACCCAAAGGAGCCACTTGGAAATGAATACCAAACATTAACAACATTTTGTGTTATTTACTCTGCTCATATTAACACACAGTAAGTTATTCTTGCCTCTTTGTTAAGTTCCCATGCAAGAACTCACAACTGATTGGTCCTCCTGTATATCAAAAGTCCTGAGCCATGGCTAATTGTACTTTCATGCCCAAGTCCCTCTTTACCACTGTCAAAGTTTAATTTTGGAAAGCCACATACAAATACATTTAATCCCGCTGGAAATGCATATTCCAGCAGTGTTTTCTCTCCCCGCTCATTTTTGAGCTGATTTTAAAAAACAGGCTGCAGGAAAAGACAGGGTGGATTTGCTCATCTTTACAGGGGAGAGATGGAGAAATTTTCATTGGATATTTCCCTTTAAACTGGATGTTGAATCCCCAGCTGATGCACACATACTCGCCTCTGCCATTCTCTGCAGCTGGGAACTTGGCCCAGGACTTTGAGCAAATACCTCACAGAGGAATGGCTTTGCACAAACAAGATGGCCAACAAAACTCAAGGCATGAGATGTCCAGATGAGTAAATACCTCTCAAACAAAAGGTAAAAGAGAGTTAAACCAGAAAAGCAAGTATTGCCTAGCTTTGCTGTTATAGAGTACTCTGTCAATCAACCATTGCAACTGTTAATTAAAAAATACTAATTTTATTCATCTTGATCTGTGAACCAGGAGAGCCATAGCCTGAGAGGGGAGAGGAGTAGCAGCATCACTGACATCTCTGGATAATGTCCATCAGGTACTGTGATGGAGGAAAGCCAAAGACCCAGAGCCCATGATAGAGTTACTGCAATGAAGGTTCCATGGAATGATTCAGGTTTTTTGTGCTCAAAAAATCCAAAATGCTGATTAAAATATTTTCCCGTGCCAGCTTT